GATTTTCTTAATCCTATGTCATTCATCACATGTCTCACATTTTCAACTCTTCCCATCTTCCAACTGCAGCATAAAGTTTTGGCAGCAGTACTTAATATTACCGGTGTTCTCTGGCTCCAGCTTAAAAGGCCACTGTGCTGCAACCTCTGCCACTTCAACATTACCATGTATTACACATGCGCCAAGCAATGAACCCCAAATAGCACGGCTAGGCATAAAAGGCATTGTTCTAATCAAATTATATGCCTCATCTAATTGACCAGCACGATCAAGCAGATCAATAATGCAAGTGTAGTGATCATCCTGGGGACTTACTTGTGCTCTCTGGGCATGAATTCAAACAAACACAGACCCTCATCCACAAAACCAGAATAACTGCAAGCATGCAATACAGATGTAGAGGTAACTTCATTTGGTTCCACCCAGATTGAACCATTTGTCTGAAAGTGAAACAGCAGTTTCACCACGTCCATGCATTCCATAACCATCTATTATAACACTCCAAACAAATTAAAAATGTCATTGACATGTAAAGGGATAGCATTAAAAATCAGGGAACAGATTCTGGACTTCCGCATTTCGAATGTATATCGATAAAACATGTTGCTATTTCTCTTTCCCGAAAGAAACCCAGACCTCATAGGTAACAATGTATATTTTCTGCTGGTTGCAAATCAGCAAAATATGCAGGAAGTATAGGTGGTAGAGATAAATGAGGAAACAAGAAAATCATGAAGCAGGCAATGGAGTATCATGAAGAGATTAAACCCTTAATTACAAAAACAACAGACAAATTCAACAGCAGCTCAAACCTAAATCAGGTTCAATTTTTCATTAAGCCCACAAACAACAACTAGAAGCATTGTCATTTTCCCCTTTTAAAATTCTAAGCATCATCATCATAACCGTTCTTTCCAAGTTCAATTTAAAGCCATTTATTTTATCAGCAATCTTCTTTTTTTTTTTTTTTTGGGTAATTTCGGCAATCTTTATTTTCCGGCAGTGCAATATTCTTTATAAACCTAATCCATCTAAAGGCAATATAGATTAGTTTATATATATATATTATTTCCGCCAGGCAATATTCTTTATAAACCTAATCCAATCTTAAAGGGCAATATAGATTAGTTTATATATATATATATATATATATATATATTGGAAAATTTATATATTGAAAATTATAATCCATATGGAGTTAGAATCTATATAAATGTATATGATAGATGTCATGGATTTGGCATATGCATAAATGAAGAATCAATATAACATGCAAGAGAGAATTGACAACTAATCGACAGAGAAGCCTCCAAACTCTCTATATAATCACAAATTGCCATATCCAATGCCAGCTTGTGTCCCTACTACATCACTCCAATGTGCCAGCACGAAGGTTAATCAAGATTCTATATCTATTTTTAAAAATCATGTTTTAGGTTTTGAAAATCCAATCCAACATATAATAACAAGCACTTCCAAATTAAGCATTAGTGTAACATAATATATTTTGTATTATAATATGATGTCAGTACAAATTGATTCCGTACTTTTTTGTTTTCATAATCAGAAGACTTAATTTCTTTCGAGCTGTAAAACGTAAAAACTTTGTAGTCCTCCCAATAAAATCAGATTAAATAAATTTGTGTTCTCACACGTTCGAGGATTGAATTGGAATCGCTACAGTATATGGTGCCCATACTAAAACTGGGGTGTTATTCAGATATAAGGATAATATTTAAGTAAAGGTCTCTTAATAACAACAATTCCAAAATTTAAATCTCTAACCATACAGATAAATTTCGCTTGAAAATACAATGCGTTTATATAATTGTATATTGTTAACAACTAAAATATTTAATTCCTTCTTAATTATAAACTTCATCTATAAAAGGCCTTAACCACAATACCACTTCCACAACAAAGCTCATACCTCAGAATTTTAGTTGATAGATACACATTATGGGTTCAAGAAGTATAGCCTCCACATCCCTTTTTCTCTCCCCGAACCTTCTTTTCTTCACACTTGTGAGCTCTACCACTTGCCCTCCAACACCATAATCACCATCGACAAAGCCAAAAGGTCATGGTTATTGCCATAAGGACACTGTAAAGCTAGGTGTATGTGTTGATCTTTTGAAAGACTGCTTGAGTGTTACAATTGGCACCCCACCAAAGACACCTTGCTGCAGCCTTATTAGTGATCTTGTTGATCTTGAAGCTGCTGTTTGCCTTTGCACTACTATTGAAGCTAATGTGTTAGGCATTAAACTAAACCTTCGTGTTAATTTGAGCTTGTTGCTTAACTCTTGTGGGAAGACGGTTCCAGAAGGATTCAAATTTGCTTAAACTAATTAATATGCATTCTATAATTAATTACTGTGAGAAGAAGGTTCAACAAGGATTCATGTGTGCTTAAATTAATTTGTATTTTATCTATTAATTGCTTATTATGATTAATTTCTTTTTTACTCAATAATTTCTTAATTTTATTATTATTATTAATGTTATTGGTTTTGAATTTTGTCTGTTTTTTAATTTTTCTATCTCAATTTTATTTTTTATCTGTAGATAAGTACAAGAGTGGGTAAAATCATTACTTCTAATTAGATCTAATTGTTCATTCATATCTTTCGTTAATAAAAAGTAAAGTTAAGATATTAAAGTAGAAAAATTCACAAACTTCATAATTATGTCCCTTATTTACTATTTTAAATTGATTACCACACAAGACGTGAACGACAGGTCGTAGATTTTAACCGACCGATTTGGCTAGGATATGGATTCCTTCAAGATTCCAACTGTGGATTCTAATGGCCGGACCAGAGCTGTGGTATGCGAAAGACGCACATACGACATTAGAGAAAGAACTACAAAGTACTAGCTCGACAAAAACGACTTGTCATGTGGAGTGTTTTCACTTTACCTTATCATTGATTACTTGACATGTGGAGTATTTCCACTTTGACGACCTGATATTTGGATTGGTCTTTTGAATTTGTTGACCTTGACTGTTGATCATTGATCATTGTTTATCTCTTCCTACCTGTAAATCTTGTTCTTACGTTTTTCATTTTATGTCCTCTTCTTTCACGCTTAAACTCAAAATCATCTCATTCAGTCACCGATTTCTTTTTTTTTTTTTTTTTTTCAGTTCACCGATTTTCCTCTTTTTTTTTGTTTTTTTTTTTTCAATATCTCATTATTTTTTTTTTTTTTTTTTTTTCATATCTCATTGTGTTTATTTTCTGTTTGGCAACCTGCCTGGCTTTTATGATATGGAGAACCTGGATCTAAAGCTCAAGGTGTTGTTCTTTTGAAAGTGTTACTGCTGAAAGAATCAGTTGTATAATATTTTGAGGGAGCAATTGGCACTATAATATTGCACACAACATTCAGCTTGTAGATTCATAGAGTGTCGACCTGCAAAGACTACAAAGTTGATGAGAAATACCATTTTAGTTGTGTGGTATTGGTTTTGGTGGCGCAGTAGCGAGGTTAATGAGAAATACCATTTTAAAAAAAAAAATTTGTACATATATAGGATTTATATATAATAGGTGTTTATCTATATGCAAGTTGAGCATTGCATGCTCAACTTGAAGAGGGGGTGTTAGGATTATTAGATAGTAGGATATTTATACATGTGATTAGTTGTACGTAAATACTTATATTCTCAATATCAAATCTCCTCAAGGCTTTGGAAGATTGACCTGAAAAAGAAGTGAAGGCAGAGTTTGAGACATTTTACACTAAACCTGTATTAAAGACACCACTACCTGTGGAAAAGCAAGCAGCAGAAGTTTACACTAGAAAATTGTTTGCAGTAATTCAGGATGAAATTTTGGAATCTCTTTTATCTGCTGTGAAGTTAAGAGGAGATGATGGAAAAACCTGCGAATACGAGGTTACGAGACTTGATGGAAGACAGAAAGTATATTTGTTGCATTAAATACATCTGAACAAACACCCATTGGTGCACAAAAACTTGAATGCCATACTTAATGATTTAGAATTACCAAAAACTCAGACAGATTATTTTAATTTTTGGCTTGAGGAAACGAGGAGTCAAGGACCCTTCTCATAGGATTAACAAAAAATTCTATTCGGTTTCCATCTCATTTTATTTCTATTCGGTTATAACAAAAAATAAATCGGCCAAAATGGTTCTTTTAGATTTGGTTCGTTTCCTTTTTCAGTTTGGTTCAATAAAGAAATTCTCGCCAGATTGATCAAACCGTGTCCTTTATACTGTAAATAGTAATTCTGGTTTTCCATCCTTTATCCCCAATTGTCTGCAATCGTTTACTGAAAGGTACAAGACCATTTCACTATGTTGAATATAATATAGTCATTTTGTTGAGATGCCTCAAATTTGCAATTTTTCTTTTTAATCATCGTAGTTGGTACAACGTATACTGCTTTTTTCCAGAAAGCAATATCTGCATTTTGTTTGTTGCTGGATGAAGCAATGCTTTCTAGTTCCAGCTGCTTGTGGACAGTGATTGAGGATCCTCCTATAAAGTTCACTCTTCCAAACAGAGTGTGAGTGAGGTTCTGATGGCATAGAGTTCTGTCTTGAGAAGTGCATTATCTAGTGTGGATGCTTGTAATAATCAGGAAACTCATTACGGACAAAAACAGAACCAGAACCAGTTGCCGCTCAACTTTTCTTGAGTGGTACATCATAAAAAGCTTATCAAATTTTGATTTTATTGACATTGACAATTTGTTTCAGATATCATTCATTTTTTTGCTCAAGAAATGGGATATTTTGTGCTTTTTACCTGCTGAAGAAGCAGCAGATGCAGCAATTTTGGTAATTTTTGCTTAGTGCAGAATAGAGAATTGTAAGGGAACCGTTGGCGTATGTTTGGCTTGTCTTTGTCTTGCACAACTCGTGGAGAATGTCATCAAAAGAAGCCATTACCACACTAAAAGCTGAATTGAAGCTTTGAATTGCTTAATGCTTATCAAGAATGTCACTGAAGAAGCTAAAACAATGACAGTAACAAGAGCTATCATCATTTAATAAACGTCAAAAAAAAAATTTTTTTTTTTTGGAAAGGTAGCAAATTACAATCAGAAAATCCCACATAAATCCAACAAAGCCTGCAATCAACTCGATTACCCATTGAAAAAATGGCTCCCACCTAAATCTTAAATCCTAAACGCTGGAGAACGCATTAATCTCCACCAGCAATTGACAATCAGGTTGAAACAATGGAATAACAACACTAATCAACAATTTTTTTTTTAAGGTTTTCCTAATCCAAACCCAAGAAATAGTCCTCCTATTTAACAATTTTCACAGCCTTCATATTCTTCGTCAAATCGGCTCTTGATTCCATCTTCACAGGCACTGGTGCAGAGAAAACTAAGTTCCCATCTTGATCATGACAATACACATTCATTTCATAATCATCACTGTTACGAGAATTCCTCGTGGTATTCCTCTCACCTTCACTGCTCTGTGTAGATACAACATTACCATGAGTCTCACTATCACCACCATTAGAGAGCCCCTTTCCTTCTTCAATTTCAATACAATCAGCAGTCTCTCCATGATCGTCACTGGAATCACTCCCATCTCCACTTACAACTGACTCATGAGTGTCGCTGAAAACCTTATACACATTCCCATTCTCATCAAAACTGACAGTTTTCTTCACTCTAGGTTTATCACCATTGCTTTTGATCAAAATCCCACTTCTGAGTTTGGAAATTCTAGGCCTTTCACTAATGGAAACCTCAGGATTTTCATGCTCCTCCTCCTCATCATCATCACCAATGAATTGCTGAAACCCTTCAAGCTCCACATCTTCCTCAACATTATCACAAACCCTAGAAAACCCATGAATTTTGTCAACTCTATCACTCAATTTCTCCACTACTTCCTTTCGATGTCCACTAATATCTCCATATCCAATACTGGCATTACAAGCCCTCGATTTATTGCTATTCCTAACAAATCTCACATTTTTTGCAGGCTTACGAGAATTTACATGGCTTTTAGCTGCAAGCCCATCAATGAACTCCAAAAATCTAGTTATATCTCTGCTAATTGACCTTTTTCCATCTCTAATCATAGGATCACCACCCTACAAACAAAAGCCACAAATTAAGAATCAAAAGGAAAAAAAAAAAGGTTCTCCAAAAAATGGAGAAGGAAGATGATATACCTGAATAGAGTCAAGTTTAAGCAGCAAGTCCATGGCTTTATGAGAAAGAACCTCACAATTCAAACGGGTTCTATTCGAAATAGAGGATTTAAGAGAACTGAAGCTGGATTTGATAAAAGCAAGGTCTTGGAGCTGATTTAGGGTTTTTGATCTACGAACAAGAAAGACACGAAAATGGGTTTGAATAACACGGGCAGCTGCATCTCTAAGAGAATAGGAAGGATGGCAACAATTAATCGAAGCAGAAGAATTAGAAAAATGGTGAAGAGAGGATTCGAGAGTGTTGATTCGTTGAAGAAGAGAGGAAAGAACAGATTGTGTTTTCTGGTCGTCACTTAGCTGTTGAAAATGTAGATTTTGTGGCTGACAATGTAAGTTTTGGCAATGATTTTTGTGGGTGTGAGTTTTGTTAGGGTAAGAAGGGTAGAGATTTGGCAGTTGTTGCTGCTGGTGAAGGAGAGAAGCAAGAGCTTGAACAAGTGGGTCAATGGACAACTGTTGTGGTGGTGGTGAAGAGTGATAGTGAGGTTGGGTGCAGCAATGGTTGTAATGGCAGCTGCAGCTGCAGCAGCAGTTAAGAGTGGTGGCGGTTATGGGGGCGGTAGGAACAGGGTTTTGGAAGTGGTGATAGTGGTGAGGATGATGAGAAGCCATTTTGTTTGCTAGCGAAGGAAATGGGGATCAGACAGAGCAGAGAGGGTTTTGCGAGGGAAGAAGATTGTTAGGGGGACCTTTTGGTTAGTTGGAGAATTAGCCAAAAAGGTTAGAGAATAAAGTTATGGGATTGGATGAACCACAGTTTTGTGTTTTAATTAGGAAATGACAAATATTAATGTGAGAACCCAATCCAACTTCAAACCGAATCAAATCGATTCAATCTATGTTTGAGGTGAAACCATTTTATCTCGATTTTAATAAAAAAATCAAATTTTTTGTTTTAATTCAATGTTGGTAATCAAAACCATGATATCAAATATATTTTAATTTAATTTAATTTAATTAATTGAACTAAACTATATTGATTTATTTCGATTTGATTCAATAAGTCAAAAAATAAGGATTCATCAAACTTTTAAATAAAATTTAATTTTTATTCATTTGGTTCAATTTAAATTTAAGTAATTGAATGCTGAATCCTAGCTAGTTGTACCACTCCTTTCACTATTTAAGTATAAACACTAGATTCTTTTTTTCTTTTGATATTAATATGACATGGAAAAAAAACTAAATAAAATTACAATAAATGACTTAATTATTGAAGCTTAAATAATTATTAGCAAACCAACAATATTTACAACTTAGCATTTCACTATGAATTATCAAAGTACAAAAGGCCAAATAAATGTCGCTTGACTGTTTGTATTATTATCTATGGTTTCATATTGTTCTGTAGGCCGCACTACCTTGACAACGAGTCATGGATGTCTCGAACTTTTGACGACCCCTTTGTACTACCACGTCATTGTCGCCCATACTCGATAGGATTTTTATTTTTTTTCTATATTTCCATTTTTTTTATCCGCAAATGTAACATGATAATTTAATTCGACAGTTTGATGAAAATTCTTATAATTAATTCAGAAAATTTAAATTTGTAATTTCTCACATTTTATATAAGCGATAAAATCAATAAAACCATACGAAACCAAACCACACATTAATAATTTACTAATTTAAAAACACTTTATAATTTTTATTTATAAGTTAGATAAGTAAAAATTAATACTTGTAAAAATATTTAAATTGTATAAAATTAATCATATATGATATGATATAACTAATAATGCTATAATTTTATTTTATAATATAAGAGATATGTAATATATTAAACCCCTATCCTAGGTGTATCCCAAAGTATTTACAAGACATGAATCAAACCAAAATAAGAATTTTTTTTTTATAGAATATCCTTCAAACCAAAAAAAAAAAAAAAAAAAAAGATATGTCAAATATATTAAACCCCTATCCTAAGGTGTATCCCAAAGTTTACAAGACATGAATCAAAACCAAAATAAGAAATTTTTTTTTTATAGAATATCCTTCAAACCAAAAAAAAAAAAAATAAAAAAAAAAAAAAACAAAAAATAGATTATTTTATCGATTATGAATTAGCAAAATATTTTGATTTGCGATAAATATTATTAACAGACTATTTATAACATTAGAATTATATATAATTAAATGACTACTTATAAAATTAACATAGTCAAACATTTATAAATCATGTAATTTTTTTTTAGGTATGTATAAATCATGTAATTTAATATGGTAAAAAGCTAAAAATATATATATATAAATCGCCCGAGAAGAAGTACACATCTTGAGCAATAACCCGCAAACAAAGTCGCTACAAATGGACGATTGTAAATTAAGATATCAGATTAAAATATCATACTTCCTTCACACTACTCTACAAACAAACGCTCTCGAAACCACTACAGTCACATCTCATCAACCAACCAAAATATGACACATAATCAAAAAGTTGTCAACCGATCCGAAATGTCGCCAAGTGGAAATAAAAAATATTATCAAAAGCAGATTAACAGAACCTACAGCTTTAACGGTGGTGAGAAAACGGCCTCGTGATTTGATCGCTGTCAACGTGTATCCTTTCACGAAAATATTTCCATCCTTTTATTATTTTTACGTTTGAATTGAATGATTCAATCTCCGGGTCACAGGTACGTCCTGTCCCATCCCATCACTCACACTATAAGAACTCTCCTGCAGGTTGTCACTGATCAGCGATCACAGAGTGAGCGAAGCAGAATTGAAAGGGAGAGGGAAAGAAAATGGCAACCAACACTTCACATTTCTCTGCAACTACGCATTATACCTCTGTTTCCCGATTTGTAGATTTTGGTTCCAGCAGTGGAAAGTCGAGATCGAATCTGTTTTTGGTTCGAAGTTTGAGGCCGCGGCCTGTTTCGCGGTCGTTTTCGGTTAAGAATGTGTTTAGCGAGCAAAAACAGAAACTTAAAGATCTGGTCGCTGGAGAAGGTGCTGGTTTCTTTCATTTCTGTTATGTTTTTCTTCTCTGGTGGTTTTTTCTTTAGCATTTTCTGGTTTTCTGAATGTTATGAGTTTTGTTTTTCTGGTTTTTGAACGTTGCGAGATTTTGAGTTATAATTTACTGTTCTATTTCTTCTTTTGTGGATTTGGATGGCGGTTTGCTGCTGAGAGATCTTCGGTTTGTTTATTTTTAGCTGTATTTGTTTGTGTTTGTGCTTGAATTTTTGGTGTCAATAGTGAAGTAGGATATCCACAGTTTTCTCGTAATCGTATAGTGTTGAAAAAGAATTGTGCCCCGCCATCTACTGAGCTAGCATGGAAAAAAAGGTACTGCAGATCCAGTTTCTTTTGTGAAAAAGAGATGGCTGGAGGAAGAATTGTAAATAATCTAAACCTGTCTACTGGCTTTTCGTTATGTTGTTAATTTACTAAATCATGTATTTTCTTTTCTTTTTTGGTGTATGGGAGGGGTGCTAGGTGGTTCTTTTTATAGAAAGAAAAGAAGTGAATAGGTTGGGGTGATGTTTTTTTTCCATTGTACTGCAAGGTACTTATATCTTATGCTACAGTTAATTGAGTTTCTTATATTTTCTTGTAGAGATGCCAAGTGGTCAGAATCCTTCCACTGCAGATGCCTCGTCCATTGCCGCAAGTATCAAATACCATTCAGAATTCACACCAGCATTTTCTCCCGAGAAATTTGAGCTTCCACAGGCCTTTTTGGCTACTGCACAGAGTGTTCGTGATGCTCTTATTATAAACTGGAATGCAACATATGAGTACTATGAGAGTTTGAATGCAAAACAAGCATATTATTTGTCAATGGAATTTTTACAGGTTTTTTCGTCATCTCCTGCTTTAATTCCCAAAAAGTGAGAATTCATCATCTGCAAAGCATTATTATTTCATCATAATATCTGCTTTTGTAGGGAAGAGCATTGTTGAATGCAATTGGTAATTTAGAGCTGACTGGCACTTATGCAGAGGCCTTGACCAAACTTGGGCACAATTTGGAAAATGTGGCTCGTCAGGCAAGGGACTTTTAACTTTCTTCAGTAAAATTGCTTGTATTGTGTTATTGATTATTGGTAGTAAAATTTATGATTCTATCTGTAAGTGTGTGCATTATTGTACCCATATGGTTCAAGATGTGTTTTTAGTTGCTAAATTCATTGGTCAAATGGTCATAGGAGCCTGATGCTGCCCTTGGAAATGGTGGTCTTGGACGACTTGCCTCCTGCTTTCTGGACTCTATGGCGACATTAAATTACCCTGCATGGGGTTATGGACTAAGATACAAGTATGGCCTATTTAAACAGCGCATTACCAAAGATGGTCAAGAGGAGGTCGCTGAAGATTGGCTTGAGGTATTTTTTTTGTTTCCGGTGATTCCTAAAAATATGTTGTGGTCCTTTGAAGCTGAGATTTTTAATCTATTATCTTTCTGAATTTTGTTATTCATATTTTTCTCCTTTTAGATGGGCAATCCCTGGGAAATAGTGAGAAACGATGTTGCATATCCTGTGAAATTTTATGGCAAGGTTGTTTCTGGATCGGATGGAAAAAATCATTGGATTGGAGGAGAAGATATAATGGCTGTGGCACATGATGTCCCTATTCCAGGATATAAAACTAAAACAACGATTAACCTGCGACTTTGGTCAACTAAAGCTCCAGCAGAATATCTGGACTTGTCTACTTTCAATTCTGGGGAGCACACCAAAGCATGTGAGGCCCTAGCAAATGCTGAAAAGGTGTGGATTTGTTCCTAAATATTTTATTGTTCTAAATGTTCTTCTTCCGCGTGTTCTTTTCTGGAAAACAGTATGAATGCTAGGATGATCTGTATAATACTTTCGCTTAATATTAGATTTGCTATGTTCTCTACCCTGGGGATGACTCTGTGGAGGGCAAGATCCTCCGGTTGAAGCAACAATACACCTTATGTTCTGCCTCTCTCCAAGATATCATTGCACGTTTTGAGAGAAGATCTGGATCAAATGTAAAATGGGAAGAATTCCCGGAGAAAGTCGCGGTGCAGATGAATGATACTCACCCCACACTCTGCATCCCAGAGCTGATGAGAATCTTGATGGACTTGAAAGGATTAGGCTGGAAGGAGGCCTGGAATATTACTCAAAGGTATTCCTTTTTCCTGGTTGTTTTAACTACATATGCAGATTTTCCACTTTATTTTTATTTTTCTTCTTTTTTGATAAGTTTCATAATGAAAGCCACCTTCACTATGCTTAACTTCAAGCATTATATCGAGTAACCTCACATTCTGCTGGTTATGTACCAGAACTGTGGCGTATACAAACCACACTGTTCTACCAGAAGCATTGGAGAAATGGAGCTTGGAGCTTATGCAGAAACTGCTACCACGACATGTTGAGATTATAGAAATGATTGATGAAGAGGTAATATGGATACGTTAAACAAAAAACATATATTTCTGCAGTGTGCTTATCTTAACTTTAATTTCTGCCCTTCTATATTTTGCAGCTGATACACACCATTGTTTCCAAGTATGGTAAAGCAGATCCCAACCTGTTGGAGAAAAAACTGAAGGAAATGAGAATATTAGAAAATGTAGATCTGCCTGCCTCTTTTGCAGATTTAATTCCTAAACCTAAGAAAAGCTCAATTGCTAATGTCACTGAAGAACCTGAAAGCAAGTTGGTTGACAAAGAAGATGAATCAGAAAGCGAAAACAAATCCAAGAGCAAAGGCTCTCAGAAGAAGGAAAAGATGGTGGTAGAATCACCTCCAAAACTCCCAAAGTTGGTCCGGATGGCAAATCTCTGTGTGGTTGGTGGTCATGCAGTAAATGGAGTTGCTGAGATACATAGTGAAATAGTGAAGGATGAAGTGTTTAACGCATTTTATGAGGTGATTTCATTTTTATTTGATCACAGTAAAATGCAGATTAAATGACTTCATTACACCTGAGGGATTTAACCATTTAAGTTCCTTTCCAAATGATTGTTAAAAGTGCTTGTAATTTGACCTCTGTAATCTAATTTTTCACAGCTGTGGCCTGAGAAGTTTCAAAATAAAACTAATGGTGTCACTCCAAGAAGATGGATTCGTTTCTGCAATCCAGATTTGAGTAAAATTATCACTGAATGGACTGGCTCTGAAGAATGGGTCTTGAATACTGAGAAGCTGGCTGACCTAAGAAAGGTAATCCACCATATTCAAATTTCTTAGTCTCTCAATTGGTGGACTGTACACACTCCCTTTCAATAAAACACTCAACATAGTTGGGAGCACAAATGCATGTCATGTCTTGATATCAAAATGTAGCTCTAGCTTATGTCAGATTTTTGCCTCATATTTGGCTGGTTATTCTAGAATTATGCTAGACATCTCTGAAAAACTATATGGTTCTTAAATTAGTTGTTTTTAATTAATCAATTGTAAATGATCACTGAATCATCTTGGTTATAATCCCTACTATGCAGCTAAATCAAATTTTTGAAAATTGTATGCAGTTTGCAGATAATGAGGATCTTCAAGCCCAGTGGAGGGCAGCCAAAAAAGGCAATAAAATGAAGGTCGCAGCACTGATCAAAGAAAGAACAGGGTATTCTGTCAGTCCGGATGCTATGTTTGATATCCAGGTAATTTTTTGCCTCTCCAGGCTCCTGTTAATGTGACAGAATGTAAGATATCGAGTACTTTATCGAAATGAAGAAGTTACACGAAATTTGAGATGAACCCTTTACCCATTTCTGCATTAGGGGAAGAACATGAGAATTCTATGGAAGGAATGGACAACAATTAGGAATATATATGTTCTTTCTTTTCATGCTTTCATCTGAAATACCATTTTATATATAGTTGATAATGGTTATTGTGTTCAGGTGAAGCGCATTCATGAATACAAGCGACAACTGCTGAATATTCTTGGAATGATCAAAATAGAAAGTAAACAGGGTATCTTCAGTCCGGATCTATGCTTTGAATATCGCAGGGTAATCTTCGTTTTGTACCTCTCCAGGCTCCTGTTAATGTTGACAGAAGTAAGATAAATCGATAGCTTATCGAAATGAAAGAAGTTTACTACGAAAATTTGAGATGAGACCTCGTACCCATTTCCTCATTAGGGGAAGAACATGTGAGAATTCCTATGGAAGGAAATGGACAACAATTAAAGGAATATATATCTTTCTTTTCAAGCTTTCATCTGAAAACATTTTATATAATTTGATTAAGGTTATTGTGTCTCAGGTAAAGCGCCATTCAGTAAATACAAGCGTAGCCAATGGCTGAATATTCTTGAATCGAGTGTTACCGCTACAAAAGAGAGATGAAAGAAAGTGAGGCCGGTAAGAAAGGTAGAAGCAAGCCTATGCTCCGCAGAAGTTTGTAATTTGGAGGAAAAGCAACATTGCTACATATGTGCAAGCCCAAAGAATTTGTTGGAAAACTATAACAGATGTTGGGGCTACAAATTAATCATGACCTTCTGAAAAGGTGATTCATCTAAGGATTGGCTTGAATCTAAATATTCTGCTAAAAAATTTCATTGCATGTCCAAAAGCATTCACCGGAAAGTACAGAAATTCACGTTGCAATGATGTTACATTCTATCCCCTAAACAGAATATCATACGTCGCCTTTTGCCCTTTTAAAATTTTAGGTTTATTTTTGTCCCGAGTATAATGTCAGCGGTTGCTGAATTGCTCATCCTGCAAGCAGCTCACCAACAGCATATCAGGTGAATTTCTTTTCTCTTCTTCGAGCAAAGCCAGTTATTGCAATGAAATGTCTGTATCCCTAATTTCTCTCTTGCTTGTAGCACTGCTGAATGGAAAGCAACGGAAACCAGCAACATGAATTTTGCATTGAATGGTTGGTATCCTAATTGGGAACATTAATGGGCCAACGTTGAAATACCGACAAGAGGTTGGAGAGAGAACTTTTCCTTTTGTGCTAACACCTCCAATGCAGATTGTGCAGTCTGGAGGAAACAAAGGGCAAAGGGAAGAGGTATGCGAATGTATACGTATATTGTTACTTTCATTATTCCAGGAAAACATTTCAAGGCCTCGACCGTATGGAAGGAGGGCTATGGTTTACAAAACAATAGTAACTTTTGCTAACCTCTTAATATAGTTTGTTCCGGACCCACGTTTTGAAGAAGTGAAAGAATTTATTAAAAGTGGTGTTTTTGGGTCTTTCAATTATGACGGGCTAATGGGATCCTTGGAAGGAAATGAAGGTTTTGGTCAAGCTGATTATTTCCTTGTTGGCGAGGACTTCCCAAGCTACATAGAATGCCAAGAAGAAGTCGACAAGGCATATTGGGACCAGAGGGTGAGTTGCTTATTAAAACACAATATGAAATTCTCCAAACTTTTCCATTCTGAAGATTTGAGGATTGATTCCGATATTTCTGTTTTTCTGTATGCATTGCCAAACATTTAAACATTTTCGTAAAATCCTTGCCATTTTCCTGATGTTTGTAACTACTGGTGGCAGAGATGGACCCGAATGTCAATCCTGAATACAGCAGGTTCATACAAATTCAGCAGCGACAGGACGATTCATGAATATGCACGTGATATTTGGAACATTCAACCTGCCATATTGCCATGCTAATGACTAGCAGTTGCAGAGTTGGCAGTGCCACGGCTTCAGGAAGATTGAATGGTCTTTCATCCTTAGTCTTCCAAGTTTTTCCTCCACAACCACCTCTCCTGTCGGGGAAGACATGTATAAAATAAAATTTTCTTCCAATGTAAAGGAAATCGCCGGAAATAAATGTGGTTCTAGTAGCCAAGTGCAATAAAACAAGTTGCTCCATAAGCATGTAAGAAATGTAATTTCAAAAATTTCGCCAATATCATGAAGACGAAAAGTTGTAATCGTCATAAAAGCTACTTAAATAAGATTCACTCGATAGCTTAGATAAACCACAAATCAGGCAATCACTCCTAATAAATTAAAAAGTAAAGTGAAAACAAATACTGAATATATACGTGTATACAACAATAATATTAAATTGTTTTTGCATCATACTGGCTGCTCTTCATTTCAGAAACAAGAATGGTTAAAGGAATCTGAAAGCTTCAGAGCGTGTTTCTTAGAGAAAAACTGTTTTCATTTTCTGTTATTTAAGAAAGCAGTTTTTTTTTTTTTTTTTTTTTTTTGAAATGGTTAAGGGAATCTGAAAGCTTCAAGAGCGTGTTTTCTTTAAGAAGAAAACTGTTTCAATGTTCTGTTCATTTAAGAAAAAGCAGTTTTTTTTTTTTTTTGTTTTTTTGTAAAAAATTAAAAACTATGAAAATAAAAAAAGTGAAAATGTTCGCAACAATAGAAAGTATAATTTTAATTAAAATTTTTAAAATATTTCTAAAATAGCTTTCATAATTAATAAAAAGTAAGATAAAATTATTATAAAATAAATTAAAAATTTTTTTATTTTTTTATTATGATCTAGTTATGATAAATAATAATAAATTTATCAATAAATGTAAAATTTTTTAAAACAAAAGGATATAATAATATTAATGAATAAAATTAATTATATATTAAAGTATTATGTTATTTATAATATTTTTATTTTTCAGTAAAAAATATATTTTTAAATTATACAAAATATATTTATAGTGTTAATTTAATATAAAAATATTAATTTTTTAAAAAATAAAAGACGAATTGGAAATAAAATAGTTTTTTTTTTCTTTTTTTGTTATACAATGGACGAATATTCCTCTTTATCTTCTTGCTCTTCTCGAGGATTTTTTTTTTTTTTTTTTTTTTTAAGGTCTTCTCAGGATCCATTTTTAGAGAGATGCTGGCATGATGCAAATAAACACTACTATATATAATAATAATACTCTCTATACATAAATAGAGAGTTTTGTTCTCGTAAAAATTATCTTTTATTTTTATTGCATTTCATAAATTTATAATTTGTACTTCAAAATGAATAGTTTAATATTGAAGACATATATACAATTTGATATTGATGTATTATTAATTTATTATGAAAATTATATAGTTTGTCATAAAACTAAATGAAGTGATAATTACTATAATTTTTAAAATGTTAATTTTAATTATATAGTAGAATTTATTTGGTAATTTTATTTAAATTATTATTAAAAGAATTATTTCTTTAATTTTACAATTTAAAAATATCATTTTTAAATATTCACTAAAACAAATGAAATTATGAAAATACATCATAGACATAACATCATAGACTATCATTCACAGTGAAAAGAAAAAAAATCAACTATTATTAAAAGAATTATTTCTTTAATTTTACAATTTAAAAATATCATTTTTAAATATTCACTAAAACAAATGAAATTATGAAAATACATCATAGACTATCATTTACAGTGAAAAGAAAAAAAATAACTTTGAATAAATTTAAAATTTGATCAATTTAATTTCATATTATTTTTTAAAATATTAGAATAGAATCATGATTTATAATATTAAATCTATCATTTTAAATAAATTAAATATCATGCATTTATTCAATGAATTTAAAATTATAAAATTTTTTATATGTTGTTAAATTTTAACTAAATAACCAATAATAATAATTGAATTAAATTATAAATTTATAATATTATTTTATTTTTGAATATTCATGTGAATTGTTGTGTATTCATAAAATGAAATCGAAATTAAAGTTAACAATTAAAATTAAATAAAAAACTTAAAATTAAATTAATTATTAGGGCTTGTTTTTGTTATAACTAAATATAAAATGTTTCTAAATATAAATTGTCACATTGTAGGGCTGGGAATAGAACTCGGACAAAATGACCTAAATGTACAGGTGCAACCAATCAAACTATCAAGGAGATTTTTTACTTAATTGAGTTTAATCGAACTAATTTTTTAAACAAACTGAACTGAATTATTTTGACTGAATTAATTTTGATCGCTAGCCATCGAAACTATAGAAAATGACAACTTAATTAATCAAATTTCGTGATAAACTGATTCTAACCGAAATTATTAATCACTTCTTAATCAAAGTAAACACTGAAATATTTTTTTATTATCAATCTAATCAAAACCATGTAGTTTTAAGAATCAATTAATTTGATTAATTTAGTTAAATTAACTTTTAACCGAATCTTTAACTAATTGCCAAAAATATATTGTTTTTTTAACTAAACTTTTAATCAAACATTTATTCACCATATTAAATCAATTGAATTGGCCAAATTAATTGAATTTACTGAATCGAATGCTAGCTCTTACTATTTCAAAACTTATGCATAAAAAATTTTATGGTCCGGAAGGGGCCGCCACTTCGTCCCTGATTGTGATAAAAAATAAAACTTGAATATTTGAGGGATAAATGTTATTTTAGAGCGCAGTTATTACAATCACTAAAGTTTCGAGCATTTTATATAGTTAACCTTTTTTTTTTTGTTCGGTTAATTCAATACGAGGTGTAGCATCCACATTTATTATATTTTTACTCATTAATTTTGACAATTTTGAGTTAGAGTAGAATTATGATAATAAAAAGTTATAATTGAGGTGTGTCACTGACAAAGTTGGATTTGAAGGTATTTTTATGGTTTAGCTTAAGTTAAGCTATTCCGACTGTCGTTTCACAGAGGTGAAATATCATACTTCCGTCACACTACTCTACAAACAAACACTCTCAAAACCACTGCATTCACATCTCATCATCCAATGCAAATTTGACACGTAATTAAAATAAATCTCAATCTATCCGACATATCGCCAAGTGGAAAAAACAAAAAAAATCATCAAAAATATATTAACAGAATCCCATAGCTTTAGCTCATTCGATTGCGAGAGCATCTATTGGTTACGCTCGTCTCCCAAGTGTGAGATGTGATACCTGACCGTACTGCTGAAATTTATCATTTGTGTTAATGAAGTTTGGATTTTTTCCTTTAAAAAAAAAAAAAAAAATCCCACAGCTTTAACGGTGGAGATAAAACGGCCTCGGCATTCGATCACTGGCAACGTGTATCCTTTCGCGAAAATATTACCGTCCTTTTATTATTTTTACGCTTGAATTGAATGATTCAATCTCCGGGTCACAGGTACGTCCTGTCCCATCATTCACACTATAAAAACTCTCCTGCAGGTTGTCACTGATCACCGATCACACAGTGAGCAAAGCAGAAGTGAAAGGGAGAGGGGAACACAATGGCAACAAACACTTCACATTTATCTGCAACTACGCATTGTACCTCTGTTTCCCGATTTGTAGATTTCGGTTCCAGAAGTGGAAAGTCGACATCGAATTTGTTTTTGGTTCGAAATTTGAGGCCGCGACCTGTTTCGCGGTCGTTTTCGGTTAAGAATGTGTTTAGTGAGCAAATGCAGAAGCTTAAAGATCTGGTCGCTGGAGAAGGTGCTCTGGTTCCTTTCATTTCTGTTGTGTTCTTCTACTCTGGTTGTTTTTCCTTTAGCACGTTCCGCTTTTTGAACGCTATAAGTTCCTGAGTTATAATTATATCTTATGCTCCAGTTAATTGAGTTTCTTATATTTTCTTGTAGAGATGCCAAGTGGTCAGAATCCTTCCACTGCAGATTCCTCGTCTATTGCCGCAAGTATCAAATACCATTCAGAATTCACATCAGCATTTTCTCCCGAGGAATTTGAGCTTCCAAAGGCCTTTTTGGCTACTGCACAGAGTGTTCGTGATGCTCTTATTATAAACTGGAATGCAACATATGAGTACTATGAGAGTTTGAATGCAAAACAAGCATATTATCTGTCAATGGAATTTTTACAGGTTTTTCCGTCATCTCCTGGTTTTATTCCCAAAATTTGAGAATTCGTCATCTGCAAAGCATTGTTACTTCATCACAATATCTGCTCTTGTAGGGAAGGGCTTTGTTGAATGCAATTGGTAATTTAGAGCTGACTGGCACTTATGCAGAGGCCTTGACCAAACTTGGACACGCTTTGGAAACTGTGGCTCGTCAGGTAAGGGGTTTTTAGTAACTTTCTTCAGTAAAATTACTTGTATTAACTTTTAAGTTGATCTTGATTTGATATGTTCCCATTGCTATTTTGGAATGCCTCATGCAAAGCTTCAGTTACAGATTGAAACGTTTGGAAAAATCTTACAATTTGTTTCTTTATTTCAGTGGCTAAAAAGTAGTTTAATTCCTTTGTTAAATTTCTTCAGTAATTACTTTGATCTGGTATAGAGTATATGCCAATGGTTACCGAAAAATTTATGATTCTCTCTGTAAGTGTGTGCATATTTGTACCCATATGGTTCTAGATGTGATTTTAGTTCCTAAATTCATTGGTCAAATTGTAATAGGAGCCTGATGCTGCACTTGGAAATGGTGGTCTTGGGCGACTTGCTTCCTGCTTTTTGGACTCTATGGCGACATTAAATTACCCTGCATGGGGTTATGGACTAAGGTACAAGTATGGTCTATTTAAACAGCGCATTACCAAAGAAGGTCAAGAGGAGGTTGCTGAAGATTGGCTTCAGGTATTTTTTGTTTCGGGTGATTCCTATAAATATGTCGTGGTCCTTTGAAGCTGAGATTTTTAATCTATTATCCTCCTGAAATTTTTGTTAATCATATTTTTCTCCTTTTAGATGGGCAATCCCTGGGAAATAGTGAGAAACGATGTTGCATATCCTGTGAAATTTTATGGCAAGGTTGTTTGTGGATCAGATGGAAAAAATCATTGGATTGGAGGAGAAGATATAATGGCTGTGGCACATGATGTCCCTATACCAGGATATAAAACTAAAACAACCATTAACCTGCGACTTTGGTCAACTAAAGCTCCAGCAGAATATCTGGACTTGTCTACTTTCAATTCTGGGGAGCACACAAAAGCATGTGAGGCCCTAGCAAATGCTGAAAAGGTGTGGATTTGTTCCTTAATATTCTATTGTTCTGAATGTTCTTCTTCCGCATGTTCTTTTCTGGAAAACAATATGAATGCTACTATGCTAGAATTATCTGTATAATACTTTCGCTTAATATCAGATTTGCTACGTTCTCTACCCTGGGGATGACTCCGTGGAGGGCAAGATCCTCCGGTTGAAGCAACAATACACCTTATGTTCCGCTTCTCTCCAAGATATCATTGCACGTTTTGAGAGAAGATCTGGATCGAATGTAAAATGGGAAGAATTTCCGGAGAAAGTCGCAGTGCAGATGAATGATACTCACCCCACACTCTGCATCCCAGAGCTGATGAGAATCTTGATGGACTTAAAAGGATTGAGCTGGAAGGAGGCCTGGAATATTACTCAAAGGTATTTCTTTTTCATGATTGTTTTAACTACATATGTGGATTTTCCCTTTCCCTTTTATTTTTTCTTTTTTGATAAGCTACACATTCTAATACACAAATGCTTGCCTCTTTATACCCCATAAAAAATTCAGAGAGTTTTTTTTTCTTTTAAAAAATTCCCAATATGCTTCTTTTTCTTTTTATTATTGTTACTTGAAGCCACCTTCACTAAGTTTAACATCAAGATGTATATCCTGTAACCTCACATTATGCTGGTTATGAACCAGAACTGTGGCATACACAAACCACACTGTTCTACCAGAAGCACTGGAGAAATGGAGCTTGGAGCTTATGCAGAAACTGCTACCACGACATGTTGAGATTATAGAAATGATTGATGAAGAGGTAATAAGGATACGTTAAACAAAAATGATATATTTCTGCAGTGTGCTTATCTTAATTTTAATCTCTGTCCTTCCATATTTTGCAGCTGATACACACCATTGTTTCCAAGTATGGTAAAGCGGATCCCAACCTGTTGGAGAAAAAACTGAAGGAAATGAGAATATTAGAAAATGTAGATCTACCTGCCACTTTTGCAGAGTTGATTCCTAAACCTAAGAAAAGCTTAATTGCTAATATCATTGAAGAACCTGAAATCAAGTTGGCTAACAAAGAAGATGAATCAGAAAGCAAAAACAAATCCAAGAGCAAGGACACTCAGAAGAAGGAAAAGTCGGTGGTAGAATCACCTCCAAAACCACCAAAGTTGGTCCGGATGGCAAATCTCTGTGTGGTTGGTGGTCATGCTGTAAATGGGGTTGCTGAGATACATAGTGAAATAGTGAAGGATGAAGTGTTTAACTCATTTTATGAGGTGATTTCATTTTATTTTATCACAGTAAAATGCAGATTAAATGACTTCATTGCACCTGAGGGATTTAACCATTTAAGTTCCTTTCCAAATGATTGTTTAAAATGCTTGTAATTTGACCTCTGTAATCTAATTTTTCACAGCTGTGGCCTGAGAAGTTTCAAAATAAAACTAATGGTGTCACTCCAAGAAGATGGATTCGTTTCTGCAATCCAGATTTGAGTAAAATTATCACTGAATGGACTGGCTCTGAAGAATGGGTCTTGAATACTGAGAAGCTGGCTGACCTTGCTTGTAATTTGACCTCTGTAATCTAATTTTTCACAGCTGTGGCCTGAGAAGTTTCAAAATAAAACTAATGGTGTCACTCCAAGAAGATGGATTCGTTTCTGCAATCCAGATTTGAGTAAAATTATCACTGAATGGACTGGCTCTGAAGAATGGGTCTTGAATACTGAGAAGCTGGCTGACCTAAGAAAGGTAATCCACCATATTCAAATTTCTTATTCTCTCAATTGGTGGACTGTACACACTCCCTTTCAATAAAACACTCAACATAGTTGGGAGCACAAATGCATGTCATGTCTTGATATCAAAATGTAGCTCTAGCTTATGTCAGATTTTTGCATCATATTTGGCTGGTTATTCTAGAATTATGTTAGACATCTCTGAAAAACTATATGGTTCCTAAATTAGTTGTTTGTTAATTAATCAATCTTAAATGATCACTGATCATCGTGGTTACAATCTCAGTACTATTCAGCTAAATCAAATTTTTGAAAATTGTATGCAGTTTGCAGAGAATGAGGATCTTCAAGCCCAGTGGAGGGCAGCCAAAAAAAGCAATAAAATGAAGGTCGCGGCACTGATCAAAGAAAAAACAGGGTATTCTGTCAGTCCGGATGCTATGTTTGATATCCAGGTAATTTTTTGGCTCTCCGGGCTCCTGTTAATGTGATAGAATGCAAGATATCGAGTATTTTATCGAAATGAAGAAGTTACACGAAATTTGAGATGAACCCTTTACCCATTTCTGGATTAGGGTGAAGAACATGAGAATTCTATGGAAGGAATGCACAACAATTAGGAATATATATGTTCTTTCTTTTCATGCTTTCATCTGAAATACCATTTTATATATAGTTGATAATGGTTATTGTGTTCAGGTGAAGCGCATTCATGAATACAAGCGACAACTGCTGAATATTCTTGGAATTGTGTACCGCTACAAGAAGATGAAAGAAATGAGTGCTGTAGAAAGGAAAGCAAGCTATGCTCCTAGAGTTTGTATATTTGGAGGGAAAGCATTTGCTACATATGTGCAAGCCAAGAGAATTGTGAAATTTATAACAGATGTTGGGGCTACAATTAATCATGACCCTGAAATAGGTGATTTACTTAAGGTATGGCTTGAATGCTAAATATTTCTATAAAATTTCATGGCACTCCAAAGCTTTTGCCCTAAATGTACGCTAATCACTTGCAATGATTTACGTTCTATCCCTAAACAGAAGTATAATACATCTCCTTTTCCTATTAAATTTTAGGTTATTTTTGTCCCGGATTATAATGTCAGCGTTGCTGAATTGCTCATTCCTGCAAGCGAGCTCTCACAGCATATCAGGTAATTCAGTTTTCTTTTCTTTCACAAAGCAGTTATTTTGCAATGAATGGCTGTATCCTAATTTCTCTTTCTTCTTGTAGCACTGCTGGAATGGAAGCCAGCGGAACCAGCAACATGAAGTTTGCAATGAATGGTTGTATCCTAATTGGAACATTAGATGGGGCCAATGTTGAAATTATCCTAATTGGAACATTAGATGGGGCCAATGTTGAAATACGACAAGAGGTTGGAGAAGAGAACTTTTTCCTTTTTGGTGCTAAAGCTCATGAGATTGCAGGTCTGAGGAAACAAAGGGCAGAAGGGAAGGTATGCCGAATATTGGTATCTTTTCATTTATCCGGAAAACATTTCAGGCCTCGACCGTATGGAGGGGGCTATGGTGGCTATGGTTTACAAAACAATAGTAACTTTTGCTAACCTCTTAATATAGTTTGTTCCGGACCCACGTTTTGAAGAAGTGAAAGAATTTATTAAAAGTGGTGTTTTTGGGTCTTTCAATTATGACGGGCTAATGGGATCCTTGGAAGGAAATGAAGGTTTTGGTCAAGCTGATTATTTCCTTGTTGGCGAGGACTTCCCAAGCTACATAGAATGCCAAGAAGAAGTCGACAAGGCATATTGGGACCAGAGGGTGAGTTGCTTATTAAAACACAATATGAAATTCTCCAAACTTTTCCATTCTGAAGATTTGAGGATTGATTCCGATATTTCTGTTTTTCTGTATGCATTGCCAAACATTTAAACATTTTCGTAAAATCCTTGCCATTTTCCTGATGTTTGTAACTACTGGTGGCAGAGATGGACCCGAACTGGTGGCAGAGATGGACCCGAATGTCAATCCTGAATACAGCAGGTTCATACAAGTTCAGCAGCGACAGGACGATTCATGAATATGCACGGGATATTTGGAACATTCAACCTGCCATATTGCCATGCTAATGACTAGCAGTTGCAGAGTTGGCAGTGCCACGGCTTCAGGAAGATTGAATGGTCTTTCATCCATAGTCTTCGAAGATTTTCCTCCACAACCACCTCTCCTGTCGGGGAAGATATGTATAAAATAAAATTTTCTTCCAATGTAAAGGAAATAAATTGATGGAAATAAATGTGGTTCTTGTAGTTAAGTGCAATGAAATGGAATATGTAAGTGGCAAAAATAAAAAAGAAACAAATGTGAATAAAGTTCAAAATTTTCATTTCTGTCTCAAAAGTTGTTCTACTTTGTCTTTCATTTTGGTTAACTATGCAAAGCTCTTGCTATACCATTCCCACGTGGAAACCATATGCAAAGACCTGCAATACATTTGAATGAAACTGATTGTTTGGCGGCAGTGCAAGCAGTTTAAGGGAATTTTTCTTATTCTTCTTATATTGGCTCAGTTCTCTCTGACATACAAACTCCTTTGTAAGAGTTTTCTTCGTTATCTTTCTTTTTTTTTTTTTCTATAAGAAAATCAGCGAATCAGTTAACTCATTTCTTAGTTTGAGCATTTGATTCTATGGACTTGCTAGATAATCATCCATCTTTGATTCATGATATTACTTATTTTTTATGCTAATTAAAAAAGAAAAAAAAAGCTGCATACTTGTGCTATGCACAAATAATCTAAGTTTTTTAATATTTAATTCAAATTTTATATCTCACTTTTTATTAAAATTTTTTTTAATATTTATATAGTTGATCGTAGATAAATAATTTTAAAATTTGCAATGTTCAAATTTAATTTAACAAATATAGTTAAACATTTTATTAATTCTAGTAATGATATTAAATCATTTTTAAAAAATATATGATA